GACTGGAACGGGAAGACTTGACTTGACAGGAACGTGAAGACTTGACTTGACTTGACAGGAACATGAAGACTTGACTTGACTTGACAGGAACGGGAAGACTTGACAGGAACGTGAAGACTTGACTTGACAGGAACGGGAAGACTTGACTTGACAGGAACGTGAAGACTTGACAGACTTGACAAGAACGGGAAGACTTGACTTGACAGGAACGGGAAGACTTGACAGGAACGGGAAGACTTGACGGGAACGGGAAGACTTGAGTGGAACGGGAAGACTTGACTTGACTGGAACGGGAAGACTTGACTTGACAGGAACGTGAAGACTTGACTTGACAGGAACGTGAAGACTTGACTTGACAGGAACGGGAAGACTTGACAGGAACGTGAAGACTTGACTTGACGTGACAGGAACGGGAAGACTTGACAGGAACGTGAAGACTTGACTTGACTTGACTGGAACGGGAAGACTTGACTTGACTTGACTGGAACGGGAACACTTGACTTGACTTGGCTGGAACCTGAAGACTTGACTTGACAGGAACGGGAAGACTTGACTTGTCAGGAACGGGAAGACTTGACTTGACAGGAACGGGAAGACTTGACAGGAACGGGAAGACTTGACTTGACAGGAATGGGAAGACTTGACTTGACAGGAACGGGAAGACTGCAGGAGCAGGCGTGGGACCCAGGCAGAGAACTGCAGGAGCAGGCGTGGGACCCAGGCAGAGAACTGCAGGAGCAGGCGTGGAACCCAGGCAGAGAACTGCAGGAGCAGGCGTGGGACCCAGGGAGAGAACTGCAGGAGCAGGCGTGGGACCCAGGCAGAGAACTGCAGGAGCAGGCGTGGAACCCAGGCAGAGAACTGCAGGAGCAGGCGTGGGACCCAGGCAGAGAACTGCAGGAGCAGGCGTGGGACCCAGGCAGAGAACTGCAGGAGCAGGCGTGGAACCCAGGCAGAGAACTGCAGGAGCAGGCGTGGGACCCAGGCAGAGAACTGCAGGAGCAGGCGTGGGACCCAGGCAGAGAACTGCAGGAGCAGGCGTGGGACCCAGCAGAGGCTGCAGCAGCATGAGACCTGCAGGCATAAGCCCCACAGCGTGGACCAGGAAGTGGACAATCTGTAGAAGCGACGCGAGGAAACCAGGATCGGCGGCAGGCACTCGACAGCCGGTCAGAACAAGTGCACAGCACGATTAGCTGGATCTCAGGCAGAGGCTTGGGTGCAGGGAAGCAGGAGAAGAGCGGGGAGACCAGCCCTACCACCCCGGAGAACGATGGCGTGCGTAGGGGGTGTAACTCCCTTAGAGCTCCAGGATCCGCGGCTTCCATGACAAAAAACGGGACGGGGGCAGAAAGATAGAGAGGAGAAGGGTTTGACCACCACAGGAAAGGAACTGGATGCGCCGAAACCCACCCAAAGGCTTGACCACCCCGGAGAACAGGTAGGATAGGCCAACACCCTGGGCCAGAATCTCCTTCCACTAAAGGAGAAAAAAGTAAAAAATAAATCCTCCAGCAAACAGGTGTTAGCTCACCACAGGTCCAGGTTTGGTCAGATCATTCTGTCACATTGAACGAGGTGGAGACGGCGGACCATGTGTGGATGAGCTGACCAGGAGGTAAAAATGCGGGCTTCGGATAAAGTAAAAATGGTTTTAATAGCAGGATGGGATGGACAGGACAAAACAACGATGACTACTAACAACAATGATCTGACAAAGGACAGGAGCAAAACAGGTGGTATAAATACAGAAGGCTAATTAGGGAAACATGGGCAGGTTAACGAGGGACAGGTGAGAACAATACGGACTAATCAGGGCAGGAGAGAAACACAGTAAGGAGGGCAGGGGCAGAACGTGACAAGTGTCCACCCCGACCTCCTGGATCGCTTGGGGATCTTCACACAAGGGTGCGTAGACTCGGCACAAATTGCGTCAGATGGTTTTATAAACAAACTAGGGCTGCACGATATTAGGAAAACCTGCGATATTCGATAACAGTGCTTAATATTGCGATATCGATATTACTCACGATAAATAAACAAATACTAAAGTATGCAGTGTTGATGTCTGGCGTGTGACGTCTGCTCTGGGTTCAAAGCAAACAAAAACTAATGCACAAATTCCATTACAACATAACATTTTTATGGCAAAAATATGCAGCTGCACCTGCTACTGTATTAGCAGCTGCACCTGCTACTGTATTGGCAGCTGCACCTGCTACTGTATTGGCAGCTACACCTGCTACTGTATTAGCAGCTGCACCCGCTACTGTATTAGCAGCTGCACCTGCTACTGTATTAGCAGCTGCACCCGCTACTGTATTAGCAGCTGCACCTGCTACTGTATTAGCAGCTGCACCCGCTACTGTATCAGCAGCTGGACCTGCTACTGTATTAGCAGCTACACTTGCTACTGTATTAGCAGCTGCACCCGCTACTGTATCTGCAGCTGGACCTGCTACTGTATTAGCAGCTGCACCCGCTACTGTATCAGCAGCTGGACCTGCTACTGTATTAGCAGCTGCACCCGCTACTGTATCAGCAGCTGGACCTGCTACTGTATTAGCAGCTGCACCTGCTACTGTATTAGCAGCTGCACCTGCTACTGTATTAGCAGCTGCACCCGCTACTGTATCAGCAGCTGGACCTGCTACTGTATTAGCAGCTGCACCCGCTACTGTATTAGCAGCCGCACCTGCTGCTGTATTAGCAGCTGCACCCGCTACGGTATTAGCAGCCGCACCTGCTGCTGTATTAGCAGCGGCACCTGCTACTGTATTAGCAGCCGCACCTGCTACTGTATTAGCAGCTGCACCCGCTACTGTATTAGCAGCCGCACCTGCTACTGTATTAGACGCTGCACCCGCTACTGTATTAGCAGCTGCAACTGCTACTGTATTAGCAGCCGCACCCGCTACTGTATTAGCAGCTGCACCTGCTACGGTATTAGCAGCCGCACCTGCTACTGTATTAGCAGCTGCACCTGCTACTGTATTAGCAGCCGCGCCTGCTACTGTATTAGCAGCTGCACCCGCTACTGTATTAGCAGCCGCGCCTGCTACTGTATTAGCAGCCGCACCCGCTACTGTATTAGCAGCTGTACCCGCTACTGTATTAGCAGCCGCACCCGCTACTGTATTAGCAGCCGCGCCCGCTACTGTATTAGCAGCTGCACCCGCTACTGTATTAGCAGCTGCACCCGCTACTGTATTAGCAGCTGCACCTGCTACTGTATTAGCAGCTGCACCCGCTACTGTATTAGCAGCTGGACCTGCTACTGTATTAGCAGCTGCACCCGTTACTGTATTAGCAGCTGCACCCGCTACTGTATTAGCAGCTGCACCCGCTACTGTATTAGCAGCTGCACCCGCTACTGTATTAGCAGCTGCACCTGCTACTGTATTAGCAGCTGCACCTGCTACTGTATTAGCAGCTGCACACGCTACTGTATTAGCAGCTGCTCCCGCTACTGTATTAGCAGCTGCACCCGCTACTGTATTAGCAGCTGCACCCGCTACTGTATTAGCAGCTGCACCCGCTACTGTATTAGCAGCTGCACCTGCTACTCTATTAGCAGCTGCACCTGCTACTGTATTAGCAGCTGGACCTGCTACTGTATTAGCAGCTGCACCCGCTACTGTATTAGCAGCTGCACCCGCTACTGTATTAGCAGCTGCTCCTGCTACTGTATTAGCAGCTGCACCCGCTACTGTATTAGCAGCTGCACCCGCTACTGTATTAGCAGCTGCACCTGCTACTGTATTAGCAGCAAAACAACTAACTGCATGCAGTTTCTCAGTGACTTTAAAACATCACCTCCACCATAAAACTTTTTCTGATGCTCCAAATACAGAAAAACATCCCATACCAGGGTTTTTAGAATAAATAGTTTAAAATTTAAATAATAGTTAACATCACTTAAATGCAACAGCAAATTCTCTCATTGCTACTGAACATTTTCTCCACGTATGTGGTTATGATATAAGGCTGTTGCTGTAACTGGGAAGTGAACTGTGCTGGGCCAAACTAGGAGAATATTAAGATTTTCTGAAGGAAAGGGAAAAACAATTGTCTACCTTTCAGAAGAGGAACTGGCAAAAAACTACATGGAAAATATGTGAAAACGTTTGTTTTTAACCCCAAATTGAACAAGTTTACCTAGATCTTAAAAAGCAGCTCAGATGATGAAACTGCAACTATGATTCTGATAACAAGCTAACAAATTGAACTAGCTCCTCTAAGCTAACAGGCTAGCAGAGCTTCTGACTGACAGTTTATGTGCAGCAGCAAATCAACTATCCTGATTAACAAGGTTATAAAAGCTCATAAATGAAAAATCACTTTGATGTGTGGGGGAACTTTTCCAGGCCCTCTTTAGCAGGGTGGGACTGGGAGGAGAGTGCTGTAGCCTTTTAGCTGGAAGCTAACCGGAGCCTGGGCTAACACTAGCGACATGAAGATGGGTTGGTTCACCGGCACGCGTCGGAGTCAGCCCGGTTATTATCAGCTGCTTAACGACACCGAGCGGACTCACGTTCACGTTTGAAAGCAGCGCTGAATCCAGAAACATCATAAAGTGTGTTCGTTGCTCTGAGCCAGCATGATGAACAAGGGAACGGCGCCGCTAACTCAGTTCGGGTGTTGCTTTCCAAAAGGGTCTACGTAGGGGGCGGGCGTATTACGTGAACGGACCCATCTGATTGGCCGCATATCAGAAGGGCTACATTTGATTGGTCAAATAATACTTCCGCGTAAAAAACAGAGCTGGTTTACAAAAAGCTGATGTATGACACGGATGGAAATGCTTGAACCAAACATTTATCGCCGTTTTTGACGTGCTTTGCGATGGGCCTATCGCACGTCCAGTTATCCCGATGACGATAATTTTTCGATATATTGTGCAGCCCTAAAACAAACTTTAGCTTATTAAACCAAACAGCCAAACTGATTTTACAGCCCAGACTCCACAATCTCTCTCAGATACTTAATCAGAATCAGAATCAGAATCAGGAAAGGTTTATTGCCATTGTCAGTGAACAAGCAGTTCACAAACTAGGAACTTGTTTCGGTACTAATGTGCTACATATAACATGAATAATAAATTTCAAAAATAGAAGATTAAGAGTTAGCTAAAGCATCTAGCTCCATTCCATCCATCATCTGTTATCTACACAACCATCATTTTGTCAAGTACAATCATTTAGTTTAGGAAAACAGAATAAAAATCATTTTTATAACTACATTCTTGACTCAGTCTGAATTAATATGATGTGTGTGTTCCCTGAATAAGTCAAAGAACCTGAAGTCTTCTGGTTAATCATTCAAAGACCAATCAGATTGATAATTAATATTTATATAGATTATCACATCTTATTGATCATTTAATACATATGTAGTCAATCCTTAATGCCACATTATTATGATTGTAAAATATTTGACTTCAAATGTTGGCAGATAAAATAATTTATTCCAAAGAACCAGAAAAGTGCATTTCTTACGTTGAAATCATTATATCTCTGAACCCATCTCCTGCTCTGTGAGCCAATCACAACGCATCACTCTGAGCCACAGCCTTTGACTCCAGCAGCTCTTTGATGATGTCATCACTGTAGGACAAGGTGTCCCTCAGCACTTGCACTGTGTGCTGACCAATCACAGGAGGGGGTGTGGGCCCAGCTGGAGAGAAGCTGCTGAAGATGACAGCTGGCCCTGAAACAGAGAGATGGAGGTTATGTTGATGTTCTGGACAAGAGTCCATCAGCCACGCAGGAGACAACCGGTCCAGACTTAAGGTTCTGATGGAGACCTCCAGGGTTCTGAACCATGTTCTGATGAGATGTCATCTCCATGGCGACAGCAATGAGCTCCCATGACAGTGTTGTGCTAGTTACTGAAAAATCTAACTACCGTATTGACCCGAGTATAGGACCCCCCTGATTATAAGACGACCCCTCTCCGAGACCAATCTTCAGGAAAAGACAAAACAATCACTTAAAAAAAACATTTCTATTGAAAATTTGAGAACAAATACTGAGCAAAAATACTATTTTAATGCAAACTATCAGAACTTTGCTGACGTGTGAAATCAAAAGTCAAAGTAGGCTCTCTGCCTCGCTGTACTCTCATGCCGCTGAAAATTTATTTCGATGAAAAAAAACTCGTCTTACATTCTGGTCAATACGGTAGTCACAGTTGCTTTGATTACTTGTACCAAAAACTAAAGCTTTAATGACTGAAATAAACATCAAACACACACACTTTACTGTTTATAGTTAATTGATGCAGATCTGCGCATAATTCAGTAGATTTTCACTAAAGAAATGTACGATTTTCTTTCTTTAGAAGGATGGAGTCTTTAAGGAGTTGGGAAAACTGACTAGATCAGGAAGTGATTCCTGTTTTCATTAACTTTTGTTTATAAATTTGGCCAATCAGAATTGAACATGTTTAAAAGCGTTAAAATCACACCTCGACTCAGGTTAACTCTCAGTGTGGAGAGCAGATGTTATTTACACATTTATGTGAAGTGAATGTTAATCATATGACGTACGAGTATGCTGGTAGATTAACTTGTTAAATCAGCCATTACTGATGAATGAACAACATGTTTAAATCCCAAAGTGTGTGAATAATGTGTGCATTAATCACTGATGTTAAAATGAATATTTTTCCTGCAATGACCCATGTCAGATCTTAAAAAACACTGGATCAGTGTTTGTGGATTGTGAGTGATTTCAGACACCTTTGATTGGGTACGCTACAATTTATTACGAGTTATCAGACTTCCATCTTCAAATCTTTAAATGTATATTTAGGCAGAGTCCACCTACTTAAATCCAATAACGTATTTCCATAGCACTGCAATGTTGTGAGTTTTCAAGAGCCCACAGAATTATTTTAATCAACCCAGTTCAGCTCTAGAGCATCAACAGTTCTGCTCTAGAGCATCAACAGTGATGCTCTAGAGCATCAACAGTTCTGCTCTAAAGCATCAACAGTTCTGCTCTAAAGCATCAACAGTTCAGCTCTAGAGCATCACTGTTGATGCTCTAGAGCATCAACAGTTCTGCTCTAGAGCATCAACAGTTCTGCTCTAGAGCATCAACAGTTCTGCTCTAAAGCATCAACAGTTCTGCTCTAAAGCATCAACAGTTCAGCTCTAGAGCATCAACAGTTCAGCTCTAGAGCATCAACAGTTCTGCTCTAGAGCATCAACAGTTCTGCTCTAGAGCATCAACAGTTCTGCTCTAGAGCATCAACAGTTCTGCTCTAGAGCATCAACAGTTCTGCTCTAGAGCATCAACAGTTCTGCTCTAGAGCATCAACAGTTCAGCTCTAGAGCATCAACAGTTCTGCTCTAAAGCATCAACAGTTCTGCTCTAGAGCATCAACAGTGATGCTCTAGAGCATCAACAGTTCTGCTCTAGAGCATCAACAGTTCAGCTCTAGAGCATCAACAGTTCTGCTCTAGAGCATCAACAGTTCTGCTCTAGAGCATCAACAGTGATGCTCTAGAGCATCAACAGTTCTGCTCTAGAGCATCAACAGTTCTGCTCTAGAGCATCAACAGTTCTGCTCTAGAGCATCAACAGTTCAGCTCTAGAGCATCAACAGTTCTGCTCTAGAGCATCAACAGTTCTGCTCTAAAGCATCAACAGTTCTGCTCTAGAGCATCAACAGTGATGCTCTAGAGCATCAACAGTGATGCTCTAGAGCATCAACAGTTCTGCTCTAAAGCATCAACAGTTCTGCTCTAAAGCATCAACAGTTCAGCTCTAGAGCATCAACAGTTCAGCTCTAGAGCATCAACAGTTCTGCTCTAAAGCATCAACAGTTCTGCTCTAGAGCATCAACAGTTCAGCTCTAGAGCATCAACAGTTCTGCTCTAGAGCATCAACAGTTCTGCTCTAAAGCATCAACAGTTCTGCTCTAGAGCATCAACAGTGATGCTCTAGAGCATCAACAGTGATGCTCTAGAGCATCAACAGTTCTGCTCTAAAGCATCAACAGTTCTGCTCTAAAGCATCAACAGTTCAGCTCTAGAGCATCAACAGTTCAGCTCTAGAGCATCAACAGTTCTGCTCTAGAGCATCAACAGTTCTGCTCTAGAGCATCAACAGTGATGCTCTAGAGCATCAACAGTTCTGCTCTAGAGCATCAACAGTTCTGCTCTAGAGCATCAACAGTTCTGCTCTAGAGCATCAACAGTTCAGCTCTAGAGCATCAACAGTTCTGCTCTAAAGCATCAACAGTTCTGCTCTAGAGCATCAACAGTGATGCTCTAGAGCATCAACAGTTCAGCTCTAGAGCATCAACAGTTCTGCTCTAGAGCATCAACAGTTCTGCTCTAAAGCATCAACAGTTCAGCTCTAGAGCATCAACAGTTCTGCTCTAAAGCATCAACAGTTCAGCTCTAGAGCATCAACAGTTCTGCTCTAGAGCATCAACAGTTCTGCTCTAAAGCATCAACAGTTCAGCTCTAGAGCATCAACAGTTCTGCTCTAAAGCATCAACAGTTCAGCTCTAGAGCATCAACAGTTCAGCTCTAGAGCATCAACAGTTCTGCTCTAAAGCATCAACAGTTCAGCTCTAGAGCATCAACAGTTCTGCTCTAAAGCATCAACAGTTCTGCTCTAGAGCATCAACAGTTCTGCTCTAAAGCATCAACAGTTCAGCTCTAGAGCATCAACAGTTCTGCTCTAAAGCATCAACAGTTCAGCTCTAGAGCATCAACAGTTCTGCTCTAGAGCATCAACAGTTCAGCTCTAGAGCATCAACAGTTCTGCTCTAAAGCATCAACAGTTCTGCTCTAAAGCATCAACAGTTCAGCTCTAGAGCATCAACAGTTCAGCTCTAGAGCATCAACAGTTCTGCTCTAGAGCATCAACAGTTAAGCTCTAGAGCATCAACAGTTCTGCTCTAGAGCATCAACAGTTCTGCTCTAGAGCATCAACAGTTCTGCTCTAAAGCATCAACAGTTCAGCTCTAGAGCATCAACAGTTCTGCTCTAAAGCATCAACAGTTCAGCTCTAGAGCATCAACAGTTCAGCTCTAGAGCATCAACAGTTCAGCTCTAAAGCATCAACAGTTCAGCTCTAGAGCATCAACAGTTCTGCTCTAGAGCATCAACAGTTCAGCTCTAGAGCATCAACAGTTCAGCACTAGAGCATCAACAGTTCAGCTCTAGAGCATCAACAGTTCAGCTCTAGAGCATCAACAGTTCAGCTCTAAAGCATCAACAGTTCTGCTCTAGAGCATCAACAGTTCAGCTCTAGAGCATCAACAGTTCAGCTCTAAAGCATCAACAGTTCTGCTCTAGAGCATCAACAGTTCAGCTCTAGAGCATCAACAGTTCAGCACTAGAGCATCAACAGTTCAGCTCTAGAGCATCAACAGTTCAGCACTAGAGCATCAACAGTTCAGCTCTAGAGCATCAACAGTTCAGCTCTAGAGCATCAACAGTTCAGCTCTAGAGCATCAACAGTTCAGCTCTAAAGCATCAACAGTTCTGCTCTAGAGCATCAACAGTTCAGCTCTAGAGCATCAACAGTTCAGCTCTAGAGCATCAACAGTTCAGCTCTAGAGCATCAACAGTTCAGCTCTAGAGCATCAACAGTTCAGCTCTAAAGCATAAACAGTTCTGCTCTAGAGCATCAACAGTTCAGCTCTAGAGCATCAACAGTGATGCTCATACACATTTAGATGGCATGAATGTGACCCGTTTTTAGGATCCAGAGAGCAGAGACAATAATCCTGACACTCTGACTTTAAAACATTTGTCTTCAACAAAAATTATAGAATGCCTTCTCCAGATCAGGGAGGTCCTGCCCCAAGTGGAGGAGTTTAAGTATGTCATGGTCTTGCTCACAAGTGAGGGAAGGAGGCAGGAGATCGATAGGAGGATTGGTGCTGCACCTGCAGTGATGCGGGCGTTGTACCGATCAGTCGTGGTGAAGAGAGAGCTGAGCCAGAAGGCGAAGCTCTCGATTTACCGGTGGATCTACGTTCCTACCCTCACCTATGGTCATGAGCTTTGGGTAGAGACTGAAAAAACGAGATCATGGATACAAGCGGCCGAAATGAGTTTTCTCCGCAGGGTGGCTGGGCTCTCCCTTAGAGTCAACAACAACAACAATAATAATAATAATAATAATACATTTTATTTAAAGCGCCTTTCAGGGAAGTCAAGGTCACTGTACAAGAATGATAAGAGTTAAGTTAAAAGTTAAAATCTGCAACAAATCACCCACAAAAACCTAGAAAAACTAAACAAAAGTCAGAAAACAAGCAGCAGAACTATCTCAGAAACAATACGCAGTCCGGAAAAGGTGAGTTTTTAGCTTGGATCTGGAGGTGGGAAGGGAGTCAGAGTTCTTGATGACTTGAGGCAGAGAATTCCAGAGGCAAGGAGCAGAGCATGGAGGTTGTTTATTTATTTAGCAGACACTTTTATCCAAAGCGGCTTACAGTTTATAACCTATAGGGCATGTTGTGATCTGTAGGGGAAACCGGAGTTCCCGGAGGAAACCCACGCATGCATGGGGAGAACACGCAACTCCACGCAGAAAGGCCGCAGCCGAATTTCGAACCTGCAACCTTCGTGCTGCGATGCAACGGTGCTAACAACTGCGCCACCATGCAGCCCATGGAGGTGAGACGGAAGGATGTAACAGTAAGGTGGATGGAGGATGGTGAACTTAGGGACCAGA